CTATTGTTTTTGTAAGTAGTAACTAAAACATTAAGTCCAAAACAAACCTCATTTAATGAATAAAAATAATATTTTTTCTTCAAAATACTTTAGTAATTACTTAATTAAATACTTGACACTTCTACAAGTTAAGTTTTACAGTGTTAACGCTGTTTTATTTATAACTAAATTTAAAGTTTTTTTATGAAGGATTATTCAAGATTTTTTAACTTTGTGATAACTTTTTTATAATTATACAATATAGCTCTTCATTTTTCTTGATTATGTAGAGAATTAATTAAACCTTCAGAACAAACAAATTCTATGTGTCTAGAATGGAAATTTATGTACAAAACAAGATAAATTGTAAAGCATACTTAAAAGCTTCTACCAGTGGTTTGCGGTAGTGAAAGATAAAACCATACTAAATGCAAATTAAACATAAAAAGAACAACTCTATTGCACCATATGAACTAAATATAAAGCGAAAAACTGCATCATACTGCCTTTATTTTTTCTCTGCCTGCGAACTCTAATAATCACAAAATATGTATAACTGTGACATGATTTTGGCTGGCTTCTACAAAGTAATAATAAAAATTTTATATATATATATATATATATATATATATATATATATATATATATATATATATATATATATATATATATATATATATTTGTATAATTTTTTACTGTCACATATTTATTGTGATTTAGTAAAAAATTATACAACTATTTGATTTTCTGATTGTAGTAGAAAAAATACTATATACTATATCTTTAAAAAAAACAACAACAAAAAAACGCAATCTTAAAAAGATATTGCGATGATGTCTTATACTGAAACTGTTATGAATTAAACACGCATTGAATTATCAAGTCTGCAGATTGCGGCTAACATTATACATACCCCGAGAACCAAAAAAAGACGGTGAGCTTCGACTAAAAGGATAATTTTAATTTTGTTGGTATGCATTCATTATTTAATTTCAATCAAAAAAATTCAGCCCAAATGTTTTTTTTTAATATTTTTTTTAATATGAACACAACTTGTCTTGGCAGTTGGGGATCCCTTTAAATTTAAATCATCAAAACATCTAAGCAGTCATGGTCAAGTTGTCAACAAAAAAAAAACCATTTGCGTGGTCAGCAATAGCGTTCAACCGCATGCCATTCCTGTCATTAACATACTACATTGATGACCTTAATGACTTATTTTTTCTTATGAAAAGCAAACCAATTATTATTGCAATAACTGAAACATGTCTACAAAATAAAAAGTTACCAATAACTATCCTTACCTAAAACTATTCTTTAATGAATATCTTTAGATGGCTATCTACTTAAGTAATCTGATTCACACTCTATTATAGGAGGAACTCTTTTATATATAAAATTAGGTTAATATATATAAAACTGCAAGTTAAAAGCTGATTTCCAAATTAACAAACCAAAAGAATTAGAGTCAACCTTTATCGAAATAATACAGTCATCTGAAAAAATATAATTGTTGGATGCACCAATTGTCACCCTTGTATGTGCATCACTGAATTCAACAACATTTATTTACAAACTCTGCTAGATAAATTCAATAGAAAATAAAAAAAATAGTTAATATATCTTTTAGGCAACTTTAATATTAATCTCTTAAACTATTACCTATCTAATGATTCTTAACTTTATGTACCTGTAGTAACTCTATGTGTTTTAACTCTCTCTATATATATACACTTATCACAGTACCAACAAGAATAACTACACAATCTAAAACACTCATTGATAATATTTTTGTAAAGTCTTATTTTGTAATTATCTTATCTAATTTATTATTATTTTTTTTGTTATTTCACCTCCTTAAGACCGAGAAGGCCACTACAGACAAGGAGGCTACTTAAATGTGGTTATAACCCTCTCTCAACTCTATAACTCCGAAACACGAACCTTGTCGAACAAGGCAGCTGCGCGGAGAAACAAGTTGAGTGTGGTCATACCAGGAACGTGGTGGGGATTGAACTCTATTGCCTTTTCATGTAAAACCAATTATGTTCACAACAAAAAATATCGCTGCTCCTTTAAAAACTTCAATCAAATTGTATTTCTTGATAATTTCACAACAATAGATTGGGAACCTATAACAAAAGAAGACAAAAGAACATCAACAATTCTCTATCAAAAATATTTAGAAATTGCTAACAAGGTATTTGACCATCATTTACATTTTGTACTGGCTACCATTAGAGAAAAAAAACCTTAACAAAACTATGGATAACTGCTGGCATAAACAGTTGATTTTAAAACTAGAACTCTTTAACCAATTCAAACATTATATAAACAAAACTAGCAACCTAACTGGTGTCTCAAAAAAAACATATCACTCTAAATAGTTTAATCAAAATATTAATAACCTTAAAAAAACTTGGAATGGAATTAAAAACATAATAAATATAAAGTAAAATAATAATAATACTATAGAAAGTTTATTGTAGATAATCAGACTATCACTGACAAAAAGTAAATCGCTAACTTATTTTTTTCTCAATACCAGACAATCTAGCATCAAAAACCACACCCTCTAAGCATAATTTTAGCCACTATCGAATAAACGGTAATCTAAACTAATTTTTTATATCCCCAGTTACACCGCAAAAAGTAGATTATTTATCCACAATGATTTCAAAAAAGAGCACAGGTCCAAACAACATTCCCACAAATATACTTAAACCATATGTACTTGACTTAAACCATGAGATACACTCATGTTTTAAGTCATATCTCTTGAACCGATCTTAATTTCTGATATCTCTTCTAATAACGAATCAAAATCTGTAGGAGTTCCTCAAGGTTCCATTATTGGCTAAATTTTTCAATAAGTTTTTAAAAACATATCATTTTTCTGATAACACTTATGTCCTAATAACTGAAAAATCTCTTTAAAAAATAAATCAATACCTTAATTGCAATGTGGACTGCTTGGTTTAATGGTTAAGGTCCAATAAAATATCCCTAACTTCTAAAAAAACTGGAATAATTCTGTTTAAGCCACACTCTGTACAACTGAAACATTTGCTGAGGCATTTTGTTAAATACTTGTTAGCTATGCTTTTTTTAACTCACATGGGCTTTATAGTTGTCAGACATGGGGACAAAATCATTCAAAGTATACAAAGATCTTAAAAATCACTTAAAATAGTTTATTTCCAATTTAACTCAAAAATCTAATATAATCTCGAAAAAATTATGAAGCTAAAAGATCTAATATTCCTATTGAATTGCACATTTGTATGGGACAGTTTGCATAACAACTTGACAATAAGCTTTGATAGGTATTATAAATTTTTTAATAAAAGTCATTGTTATAATCTTAGATCAGCACCATATAACAATCTTGTAATATCTTTAAAGCTAACACTTAAGTATGACATTATTCCATTAAATATCAATCCTTTAAATCCTGAAATTTTCTTCCCTCTGAAATCAAGACAATGTACCTAAATAAGGGAGTAGAGCTCTCTTTATCAACAAAGTTAAGGAACTTATCCTAGAAAAAATCAATAAATAAAGTATCTATAATATTATTTATATCTATAATTATTTTTCATGTTGTTTAGACCTTATCCTTTATACCTGTAAAAGTTAAGTTGTTTTTGCATTTTTTATTAAATAACATTGTTATTTTTGATGTTCTTGTTACTGTATTGATATTGTTTTATATAAGTCCTGTTTTTTATTATTTTTAGTTTTTTTTTTCTTTATTATTATAACATTATTATTGTTCTAATATTACTGATATTATAATTATTTATTACCAGTACTATTAATATGTTATACATTTTGTCAAACTTACAGTGAATATTTGTAGGTCGTCACATTTTTATCAGTTACATAACTGTTTGCGACTATTCCTAACTTTGTATTTATTTTATAAGTGAAATAGTTAATTGACTTATTGAATGGGGAAAATTTCATATTGATACCTATTTTTTTAATTTTTATTTAAAGATAGCAAAAGTAATGTTTTCAAAATTTTACAACCTTTTCAACAGCTGCAAAAAAATCTTAATAAGAAATTACTAAGCCTTAGTAAGAAATTTAAAAAAATTAACTTGTTTGTTAGAAATATTGGTAATGTTGCAGAATAGACACATTAAATCATTTTATTATTTTGCTTTTTAAAATCTGCGATGGAGTTTTAATAAAAGTAAAAAGTAAGAAAAATCTAACTATTTTGTAAATTTAATTAATTATAGCGTTTTTCATTTCTCTTATGAAAAGGTAAGATAAAAACATTTAATATAAAAAAAAAACGTTTTAACATTTTAGAAATTTCTTTTTGTTTTCAGCATTTATTGCGTCAATATCCTGCTTAAACTATAACATAAACGACTATTTTCATAGCCACATATTTTTAAAAAACACATTAGCATAAACAATAGTTTCAACAAAACTATATTTTTTATTATTGAAATAAATACAATTATTTATTTCAAATAATTGTATTTAATAAACTATCATTAATAAAATAATTAAATAAATATTAATAAAAAATTATTAATAAAACAAAATTAAAAAAAAAATTTTAAACAAAAAACTATTTTAATACTACTACTAAAATAACTATTAAAATTTATCTACTAGATACTTTAAACATATAAAAATATATTATATAATATGTTTAATATTATTTTAAATATATATTAAATGGAATGTTCCATTTTAAAGAACATTCCATTTTATCCATTTATTCAATAGAATTTTTTAAGTATCTACAAATGAGAGCACAAAAAGCTAAAAGATAATTTTATTTAATGTGTCTATTCTGCAACATTACCGAAATATTAAAAATAGTGTGTTAATAATCTAGTACTTTATATTTAGCTATGCAAAGATAAAGTATTAGAGTTGCTCTAATGATTTAAAGAATTTTTATCTTTCTCTGGATCCTAACTTCTGAGATAAAATCAAAATTTAGTAACCTTCTTTTAAAATCTCTGCTTCTATAGTTTTGAAAATTGACTTACATCATTCCAGCAATTTCTTGATGAAAAGACCATAATTTACAGCTTGAAGTACTTTTAATTGGTGGTGAGGCCATTCCATCACTGTCAGTAAGATTCTAAATAAAAAGTTTTGAGTACATCTACTAAATTGATCTACTAAATGAATTCTTAATACTCTATAATAGTCTAAAATATTTTTATGATTTAAGTTGAACTCTATAAGAGTTCAACTTGAATAATAAGAATATTTTAAACTTGAATCAGTAAAGTAAAAATATTAGATAAGTTATTTTACTCACTTTTCCTTTTGAATCAATTGATTTCTTAGCAACATTTTTATTTTTTTTATCGCATTTAGTTGGCTTCACTTTAGGAATTGATTTACCTGCAATAGATTTCCCAGCCACCGGCTTTGTCATAAGTTTTAATTTAATACCTCTACAAAAATCAATGAAAAGCAAAATTTATATAAAAAAATGTTTATTAAACAAGATAGGATTGCAAATTTTTTTTCGTATTTATGACAGATTTAATTTTTAGTCCTAAAAACATAGATACTTCTAACAGTTGTTATAAAGAATGACTATTAACATGTTAAACATGCTAGATGCGTAAAGCAAAGTTGATTTGTAAAAACAAGTTCGATCGTTAGTTAATAAAAATAGTTAACTATTTTTATTTTACTATTTTAAACTTACTATTTTAAACTATTTTAAACAATAAAAGTTATTTCTTAGAAAGTTTTTTATAATTTTTTTTATAACTCTTTTGCCTATTTAACATAACTAGTTATATTAAATAGGCAAGAGAGTTGTAAAAAAAAATTATAAAAAACTTTCTAAAAAATAACTTATATTGTTTAAATTTATTTAAAATACAAAAAAATTAAAACATTTTTACTTCACTTTAAATCAAAACTTATTATTTTTTTTTATATTTTAATAAGTTTAAAATTTTGTTCATTCATGCCATGTGAATTTTAAATGAACAAAATTTTATAACAAATAATATTTATAACAAAATTTTATAAGAAAACAATATAAGAAAACAATATAAACAAACAAAACTATATAACAAACAAAACAATATAACAAAATTTTATATGTTAACTTTATATATAAATTTATGCGGCCGTGGCGCAGTGGTTAGAGCGCTTTCTTTATAAGCAGGAGATTCAGGTTCGAAACGAGCTTTGGACATATTTTTGCGTCACGGTAAGGAAGGAGGCGTGATATATGCACTTCCGCGGTGCTCTGTGGCAAGACCGTTAGGTCTTCTTGGGGCACCTAAATAACAAAATAATAATAATAATAATAATAATAATAATAATAATAATAATAATAATAATAATAATAATAATAATAATAATAATAATAATAAGAAGAAGAAGAAGAAGAAGAAGAAGAAGAAGAAGAAGAAGAAGAAGAAGAAGAAGAAGAAGAAGAAGAAGAAGAAGAAGAAGAAGAAGAAGAACAAATTTAAAGGCGATTTTCCACTCATCCGTGTTTCTACGGGAACGGGAAAAATAAACACGTGAGCATGCGCAATTTTCCTTCGAACAAGTTAAAACTTTTATTACGCATGCTCCCGTGATTCTTTTTTTTTTCCTTTCACGCTCCCGTGGAAAAACGGATGAATATAAATTCACCTTTATAACAAAATAATCAATATAACAAAATAATCAATTCAATAGAACTTTACAACAAAGTAATCAATTCAATAAAACTACACTTTATAAAAAATTTTTATAACAAAATAATCAATTCAATAGAACTACAAAACCATGTGACATGGTTTTGTAGTTCTATCGAATTTAATTGAGTAATTATTTTATTATTTTAAAAAGATGATATTGCGAAACACACACGTGAGATTGGAATATGGGGATGGGGCGTAAAATTAATTAAAGTAATGTCATATTAACAATACGTTTCATATTATTATCAAACTCAATTCTAATAAAACAGAGCTAACCATCTTCAAATACAATCTGACATTAAAAAAAGTTCTTTAGGTTCCATAAAATATCTTGGAATGAAAATTGATTCTAATCTTTCTTTTCAGGACCGTCTATGACTTTACAATAAAACTCAGCAGATATAATAGAATGCTGGCTAAAATCCCCCATTAAGGTAAATCTAGAAGCTCTGCTAAATATATGCAATCCTAATTTTGGATCCCATCTAAAGTATGCATGTCAAGTGTGGAGACAATCCCGTAAATAAATTTTTTTAGTTAACTTAATCCAAATTAAAGCCTTAAAAATAATTATTGTCATCATAATAACTTGAAATCTAATGTGCTATCCAGTAGCGTCGCAAATGGCGTTTACCTTTGGTGATGCCACTGGTGCAATGCCATATCTACAATATTATAAACTAGAAAGACCGTGAAAAAACCTAAAAACCTTTCAATTCAGAATCTGACTATAAAAAAAAATTTTAAAGACTGGTTAAAAAAATACAACTAAATATTTCTACAACTAAATATCGAAATTCTCCACAATATCTATCAATTTGTGATCATTCAGTTTTTAATTTTAATATTTTTAATACTTTGAAGTTTTTTATTTATCTATTTCTAGTTTCTCTGGATTTTGATCTGCTGTTTTCAATACTTTTTTAAAATTTTTTGTTCTGTTAGTACAAATATTTTTACAATCTGTTTATTTATATGTGTATGTATGTATGTTTGTGTGTATGTTTGTGTGTATGTATGTATGTATGTATGTATGTATGTATGTATGTATGTATGTATGTATGTATGTATGTATGTATGTATGTATGTATGTATGTATGTATGTATGTATGTATGTATGTATGCATGCATGTATGCATGTATGAATGCATGTATGTAGTACAGCGGCTAGTGAGTTGGAAGTCCCTTCCTCTCTCTTCAAACAAAAAATGCTTAAATGGTATAAGTATGATTGCCACATGTAACCATAATAATAGAACCAATACTAAAAGAAGATGGTATTTATACCACCTAAATCGTATCATAGCCACCCATGGCCAACATTTGCTCCGTTCCAAAAATTGAGCGTGGCTATCATTAAATGACACATAAAGCCAAATTAAATTTTCTTGTTAGGATCATGAAATGACTCATTCATAACATCTCATACGTAACGTGACTTGTGAAAACATTTCATTTTTAATCCTTTTATCACACCAAAAATATTTTTTTGAAAAATGGTTTTTAAATACCTTGGAAAAGATTTTTGGCATAGTTAGCCCAACCCTTTTATCTTTGAAATAAAGAAAACTAGTTAAGAAATAGATAATTTAACATTGTTTAAATTTGTTCAAAGCAGTTAAGCACGGTGTAACAGATTCATTCGTTGTAAAAGTTAGTTCTTATCAAATTATATTTTTTTATAATGTTGTACCTCGTATTTGCTGTCGACACTTGCTTTTTAGTGTGCTCAGTAAAAACCAGTAAAGAAAAAAACGTCTTTTCATTAAAGTGCACAATAATGGAAAAATGCAGTGCCGAAAATAAAGAAATATATTATGAAAAATATTATCAAAAATATGTTTAGTGAACAATGGGTGATTTATTTTTATGATACTAGAAAGTAATAAAGATTACTAAGTAAAAAATATTATCAAATAGACACAAACAGTTTAGCTTATGTGTTAAACCTACTTTGGCACATGAAAAAATAATTTTTTATTTGTGTAAAACTCAATGACACATAAAAGTACTTAATAGAACAGAGTACTATTTATGACAAAGTTCAACTTTGGTGCCACAAGAAGACCTAACGATCTTGTCACAGAGCACCGCAGAAGTACATTTAACCAGGAAGTTCACGCCTCCTTTCTTACCATGACGCAAGAATATGTCCAGAGCATGTTTCAAACCTGGATCTTCTGCTTAAAAAGCAAGCGTTGTAACTAGTGCGCCACAGCCGCCCAACTTGGTAGCAAGAGATATGTTGGCAATGAAACAAAGATTGCAAACAAAAAGTTAAACTTGGTCTTGAAGGCAATAATAAAAACAAACATTTTAGAGGCCTATTTGTATTACACGTTGCTAAAACAACAATTTTTTGCAGATTAAAAAAAAAAAATAAAAAATTATGTTATAGTTCTAGTTAAATTTGTACAGAATATGACTGACATGACATATTTTTTATATATGCTTTATTACAATATTTATGATACAGATACAAATAATATATAAAAAAGAAAACTTAACAAGTCAAGATATCGTTAAGAAGTAAAGAATAAAAATAAATATAAAGAAGGCGGATACTCAAAGAAGAACATCAGGTCTTGTCACAGAGAAACCGCTATTGAAGAAATTAAAACTTTTTACTTATTTATTAATTTTTTCAATGTTTTCATTCTTTGTATTTATTTACTTTTATTATGTTCAATTTTTTTTTATTACAAAATTTAGTTTAATAATAAAAGAATATTAAGTTCGTAATATAATATTATAAATAAACATACAATATTACAATAGAAGAGTTCTAAAACTTAACAATTAAAACACGTTAAATAATTCACTAAAATAAAACATGTTATTTAATTGCTTGTTGATAAAAAATAAATAAATAAATAAAAAAGAATGTACATTAAATATATACATATACTAATATAGATAAGGGATTTTCAAAAATTTAAAAGTAGTATATTTTCTGTTGAAAAAATGAGTTTTTTAAGATTTTGTTTAAAAGAATCAAAATTACATTCTTGAGAAAAATCTTCAGAAGTATTTAGAACTATACTATTCCATTAAAATGGTCCGCAAAATAAAATAAAAAATTTTCCAAAATTAGTTTGAGAAAATGGTTGTCGAATTAAATTGTCGTTCCTTAAAAATATTTATTTCAATCTCTTTGTAAATCCAAGTTATGAAAAGAAACGGGTGAAAAGTGGGTCTTTCATTTATACATAAAACAAAGAATATTAAAAATATTTAACTCAAATATATTGAGGGCTTTCATTTCATATAAAAAAGGCTTGACGTGAGCAAAACGGTCCTTGAAATTTGTAAGGCGTGCTTCATGCTTCTGTTGCCGATAGAGAGGTTTAAGTTTACTTTTATAAGTGCTACCCCAAGCAATGTTTGCATAGTTGATATGGCAATGAATTAACGAATAATATAATTGAATTAAGGTATGTTTATTAAGAACGTTTCTTATTTTGGATGAAATGCCTATACTATTTGAAATTTTACTGCACAAATTAGCAATGTGGCTTTTCCATGTAAGATTTTCATCGATATATGTACCTAAAAATCTTCTCACTAGAACTCTTTTAATAATTATGTTATCGATAAATAGAAAAGGTAAGTTGCAAGACAGTTAGTGCTTTTTACCAAAAGGATGAAAAAGAATCCATTTAGTTTTATCAATATTTAATAGTAGTTTGTTTAATCTAAACCATTCAGAATTTTGACTAGTTCAATGTTCATATTGTTAAAAAGTGTAGAAATGTTATTATGAGAAAGA